CCCACAATGCTACCAAAACAGGACATTTCTTCTTTCATATTTTCTCATATCCAAATAGATTACTGCTGCTATATTACCTGGTAATAACTTAGCTAGACATAAATTACCTCATTAATAAGAGAATAATAAAATGGACTTTTTCCCCTTTAAATCAAGATAGATTATACAAAACATCTCAAAAAGTAGAGAAGAAAGCAAATATTGAATTCCCACTCAGACTTCCCTGGAAGGTTGGACTTGCTCTAAAGGAGTGTTCATTTGGCTCAGCTGAGCTGGAAGACTGTAGGCCTATCCAAGGTAAATGCACTGAGAACCATGTCATGCATTTTGTCACAGTGACACCACATCCCCAGAGAACCATGGTAGTCAACTGTCCCCATATCAGACTTCTTTCAGTAGACTTCCCAGGTCTGAGCAACCATTCATACTTTAGTTAGATACCACCAAGTGCTCGTGATCAGAACAAGGCCCCAAAGGCAAAAATCTATAATGTATTGAGTTTGCAGGTCTGGATCAAAAGGGAATGAGAGCCCTGGCTGGCCAGGTATCTTGGTTCGAGCTACGTGTACCAAGGTTGTGGGTTTGATCCCCAAGTTGGGGCACAGGCAAAAGTGAACCAATGAATGCATAAATAAGTGGAACAACAGGTTGATATTTCTCTCTCTCTCTCTCTCTCTCTCTCTCTCTCTCTCATCAATAAATGAAATTTTAAGAAGAAAGAGAAAGTGACAGACTTTTCAAAACGTCAAAAAATCCAAATTGTAAATGACTCGAAGTGATGAACAATTATTAACTATATTCAGAGTTCTCTAGCCTCTGACATGGATTTACAATGAACATTTATATCATCTTATCCACTTTCATAAAGAGATCCCTGAAGTATGGTGGAAGTTTCTGAGATTTCAATAATAAATGTATTAGATTAGCAAGTAATCAACAATCTTTTAAAACATAACTCCTTGTTGATACCTCACCACCCATTTCATCTTGGTGCCCATAAGCATTATTAAGAAAGGAAAAGGTGTATCTGTTATAGACCACATGTGGGTCTGTGGGTTCTTCACCCAAATGATAGTTCTTTTCATAAGCTGAGTTCACACATATTAAAAGAATGACTATCACACATCCCATCTGTTTTATGGGGGTTTTTCCCCCATAAATTTTCCCTTGACAGCTCATGAAAAATTGTCATTTCTAGCCAAAGAACAATTCCTTCTTAGCAGCTCCTACTAAGTGTAACTTTCTCAAAAAGAAATTCCATATGCCTAAAATATATTTTCCGAACCTATTTTCTCACATACAAACTCTACATCTACATAGGTGAGAAGAAAAAATTTGACCATTATTTTCTATTAATTTAGCAGAAAAATAAATATAAATATGCACTTGCTACAGAGTTAAGCAAAAATCTTTTAGTATTAACTTATCCAAAACATTTACAGGGTGTCTGTGCCACAGAATCAACAAATATTGGTTCTTTTTCCTCTTTTCACTGCGTGAGCCTGCCTGGGCAAGGGGACAGGGCACTTTCAGAAATAATGGGAGAGATCCTTCTTTCTCGCCAGACTATGCAACGCGTTCTCTATGGAACATCAGGGGGCATTCCAATTCACTCAAACAGCCACTCCTGAAAGGCTTTTATTTTTAACTAAGCTCTGCCTTTCCTTGGAATGGGAAATCAGAATGAAGACTAGAAACAATGTCTATCAAACATTTGGATTCTATAACCACAACTGAAAAGCCTCTTTATTCATTTTGGAAATAGTACATCTGTATTTTGTGTGTGAATAATACGTTTAAATCAACAAACTGAGAATGATATCTGGCCATTTGAAATCCGATTACCATCGTGTCACGTTCTATTGGTTAGTGTATATTACATAGACAGTGTATATTACAAATCACCATGATACTCCTGGATGGTCTCCTCCAATTTTAATCATACCACAAAACTCAAAGTTTTCTGCTGTCTTTCTAAAGAGATAAACTGAAAATTAATCCTAATTTCTCTTAAAAGTAAAAAGCACATCTCTTTATAAGGAAAAGGACAGTGGAGAACAAAATTATTAAATTATACTTATTAACTCCCAAATGATTCTTAATTTTCAAGTATAAAATATTTTCTTTGCATAAAAGACCATTAGAAGAAAATATTCTGAAATAAAATATACATCCAACATTGGATTACACAATTTAATTAAAAAATTAATATACAAGCAATCATAATGGTAAATGTTTATAATAAACAATATTTCCAAAGCCTCTAGTCAACTATTGTTTATTAAATATTAACTGAATATGGATTGTTTCATTATAAAGTCTATAATTTACTATAACTTAATGGCAAATAATTATAGAAGTCAGAATAAAAAGAGTGGAAGAAACTATATATTTAGAGCCTCAGAAAATTTAGGAATATTTTAAGATAAATTATTACTTAATAGTAAAATTTTCACTTTTGGAAAAAAATAAACCAATAAGTTGCAGGTGGATAATATTTAACTAATATGCAATGTAAATGTTCCCATATAAGTTGCCCAGAACTTAGAAACCAGACTCACCTTATCACTGGAGTAAATAAGCTATGAAGACGGCAATATAATCTTACACCCTATTGTAAAATAAAGACATGTCAAAAGCAAGTAAGAGCACTAAAAGGACAAACCAATGACATTCTGAAATAAATGTATTTATTCACTGTATTATTCTAGAATCGATACATCTCAACCAATATAACAGTTATTCAAATGTGACATTACAACATAACATATATGCTGTTAGTCATAAAAATAATGACTTAAATCATTAAAAATAGAACTAACTGTGCTACGAATTTGTCATACGCATGTGACATTTACATATATAAAGGGGTTTTTAAATTATTTTTCTTAAAATACAAAATAACAAAATATAATGTGCCCTGGCCGGTGTGGCTCAGTTGATTGAGTGTCATCCCATGAGCCAAAAGGTTGCCAGTTCAATTCCTGGTCAGGGCACATGCCCAGGTTGCGGGTTTGATCCCCGATCCTGAGTACAAGAGGCAACTGCTCAATGTTTTTCCCTCACATTGATGTTTCTCTTTTTCTCCCTATTTCTCCTCTTTCTCAAAAGAAATAAAAACATATTTTTTAAAAAAGATATAATGTAAACAGAAAATAAATCTATCGTTAGCAACATCATTCTACTGGTTCATTGTATATCAATATAAATTTTGTCAAGTATACAAAGAAAAATGACATAACATTAATTTTAAATATTTGTATTGTTTTAATTTATTCATGTACCATGACCACTTATTGCTACTTGTTAAATAGCTTTCAATGGTTATAACCTTCTAAATGATGCAATTGCATTACTTCCATTTAGAACTAGATAAGAGAATGAAAAAAAATAATTTTACATTAGAATTCTTGAAATAACAAAAAAAATTTGAGATCTGCTATGTATGTCATTTTAAAAATTTCAATACTAGAAGAGTATTTTAAGTCTCTCAACAGCATTTAAAAGTATGACATGAATTCTGCTATCGATAGAAGAGTGTAGAAGCTGTTACCTTTGAAATCACATCCTGCATCTCATTTCTTGGATAAAATGTTCCATCATCATAGCGAAATCTGTATAACATCTGTTCTGGTTTGAATTGATGTTTATCAGTAACTAAGAACATAAAAACAAAATATGAAAATACTAGAAATCTAAAAGAGTGTCAGCTAAAAACAAGTACATTTATGAAATACATATTTCCCAAATACTGAAACGTTAGTTTTATCAAAAGCTTTTGTTTTCCTAACACAGTATTACAATTCTAGTATTTAGATAGTAAGATTCATAAGATTTTGTTATATAATACATTTACCATTTCCATATAATGACTTAAGAACTAAATCGAGGTTAGCAACATTTAGCTAGCATATAATATGTAATTGAATGTATTTATATTTACATAAATATACTAGTTTGTGTTTTCTATTTCTTTATAGTGCCACAAAGTCAAGCAAAATGTGCCCTTCAAAGAGAAAATATTCCAATTAGTGAGTTATGGTTTGAGTCTCAGCCCTAGAAGTGAATTTTAACATTTATCTGTTTTATCCCACAGTGATCAAGCCAAGACCACACATAGACCAGTCTTGACCATTTACCCTGTGTTTAGGTCTTGAGAGCAGATTACATAATTTCAATATACAACTGATTCCAAGAGTGTAATAGTTTTCTTACACTGAAAAATGCTTTTCTCTTCATGTCACTTAGTTTCTTTTTCTCAGTGGAAAATGAGAGTTGTCATCCTTCACTTGCAGACTTAGGATAATTTCATATTTAAAAAGACTCCTACTAAACTTCCTCTCAAATTCTCTTTTTTCCTGAAGTTATTTTACAGACACATTTTTTAAATGACTGTTCTAGGAAAGAAAAACTTCAAATTGAAGCTCAGAGTTTTCATGTAAAATAATTGTGGGTTTTTTTTAAACATATTTTTATTGATTTTAGAGAGGAAGGGAGAGGGAAGGAGAGAGAGATCGAAACATCAATTATGAGATAGAATCATTGATTGGCTGCCTTCTTCACACCCCCTACTGGGGATCAAGCCCGCACCCCAGGCATGTGCCCTTGATCAGAATCAAACCCGGGGACCCTTCAGTCCGCAGGCTGAGG